TACTACTACTACTACTACTACGCCGACGACGACGACGACGACGACGACGACGACGACGACGACGACGACGACGACGACGACGACGACGACGACGACGACTACTACTACTACTACTACTTTTCCTGCCGTTCCTCACACTCTTCCTGAAATGCCCCATCCTCCTCAAATCCACGTCCTTACGATATCATGTTCCTCATCGCCCCACCGCCGAACGTGTCGGCAGGGCAGTCCGGGCATTTCGTTCGAGGCTTACTTCGTCGCAACGTGTGATCCCCAAGCTTGCCATCCCCAGCTGGGCAGGTAGCTTGGAAAGTTCGATCCTGCCTCAGCGCCGCGCGCAGTCGCCTTGAAGTTGTCAGCATTTTCACGAGTGTGTGGCGCGGCCAGTTTTCGCAAAAGCGGACCTCGCCTCATCGCCGCGCACAATCGTCCTAAGAGCTTGTGACGCTCGCACGGGCGCGGGGCGGATCATTTTCAGAAGCGAGCTCCGATCAACTCGGTCACTGGTTTACTTATACGACGACGTCGCCGCCTTCCTACGTCTGTAATCGGTGCCCCGCACAAGACATGACACCGTCGACGTTCGTGGCCACGCCTCGGAGGAGAGGTAAGGAAGGAGTCATGGAATCATGGATCCAAGTATTGGACGGTGCCCACCGCAATGGCAGGCAACCGGCACCCCCGGCCTCCCCCTTACGGGAGGAACCGGGCCCGAAGGCGCGCGCACCGACGAGCAGGGGATAGGCAGCTACCTCGTCGCCCAGCGACTTGCCTCCAGCCGAGAGGGCGTGGTGCGTAGGGGGACGGTCGGTTCACCTCGTCATTGCGATGCACCTCCCGATTAGCAACCCCTGCCGATCAGCTGGCATGCGCAACTGGGTTGATTTTCCAGGGAGAGCGGGCACACGGCCACCATGGGACTTACGGGCCACATGGCCCCGCCTCTCAACCAAATGCGCAATCCCCCGTGCCTGGTACCCATCTCCAAGTCACGGAGCGTGGCTAACGCCGCTGCCACCGGCAAAATGTCACGCGGCTGGTTCTAAAAGGCGCGAACCGGTTCAGCTGCCCCCAGTCGCCGCACGCAATCGACTCTGACAATGTGCCCCGAGGAGTGTGTGGCGCTGACACCATGAGAACTGGAGCCTGGCCCCCACCCTCGGGGTAGAGGTAAGGAAGGAGGACGAGGAGGAGGAGGAGGAGGAGGAGGAGTTCACCAAGACAGACATAACAGTGGCTCAAACGATGCACTCGCAACCCTATCCACTCCCTCGACAACCTTAGTTGATGAGCTATATATACATATACATTTAGACATATACATATATATATATATATATATATATATTCACACATACATGCATGCTCTTAGGTTCTACTTAGCACCGACCCTTGGCAAGTTCACTGCTGCGTGCATGTACGCGTGTTGTTCACAGCTGCTCGCAGCGCCTCGACAAGCGCACACCTGTAGTGCTGGCTCCTACAGGGCGCGAGTCGCTTCAGGCGCTCTCGCCGCCCTCGCTGTCACGGCAGCGGCCGCTGTCAACAATGTACTAGGTCCCCATCCCCCAGGGCCCCCCATCGTCGTTTTGGGATGCCCGACATTGGTACTACGAAACTGGGTACAGTCCGGGCGTTGACCTAAGAAACCCTACATAAGGAACGAGGCCCCTTTTTTCCATAAGTTAAACTTCGATTTCCGATCGAAAACATAAGGAAAACCTGAGGCAAGCTGTGAAACACTTAAGGAACGCGGAGCCCCTCCCGAACGAAAAGGGTTCCTTCTTCAGGGCCCCGGCTGTACTTAGAAACTGGGTACGATGTCCAGCAACAAACGATGTCCAAAACCGACAGCGGCCGCTGCTGGGCAGGCGGCCTCCTGTCTCAGATGGACAACGACCGCGGCGACGACGGCAGCGAACCCTGTCCAAAACGAGCAATGAACTGCTGCTGGACTGTGCACCCATCCGTGCCCACATCGATCGCCCCGAATCGTTGAGCCGCTGATCTGGGACCCGCTGCCCAAGTGGCGACACGGCACGGGCGGCGCGCGCCGGCCTCGTCGGACTCCTCTGCGCAGGAGGCCGCGTCGTTGGGGCCCTCCTCGGGGGCCTCGCGGGGGAGGTCCGCGGGAGCCTCGGCGGCACTCCGCGGCACTGCGCGCCGCTTCCCTCCAGCGTGCGTGTCTGTCAAGGCCCCGCACGGAGGTCAAAGGTAAGCAGGAGAAGAACACGCCTCGAGCAAGAGCCGTGCAAATCCCGGGCGGTCACCTACTTCAGAGCTGCACGTGCCAGTGCTGGCGCAGGGCACACCGAAGGTGACGAGGAGCAGAGGGACGGAAAGGACAAGTGGTGGGCACAAGGATAATGAGATCAGACTGGTGCGGGAAGCAAAAGGGGGAGGATGAGAAACAACAAAGGAAGGGAGGAGGAGCACAAATGGAAAGTAAAGTAAACAAAACCAGGGAAAAATCCATGAGCGAGCACATCCGTCCTCTCCCCTCCCTGGGGCACAGAAGGCTACTGAACACGAAGGCTACTGAACACGAAGGCTACTGAACACGAGTGCTCAGCAGGCAAGGGAAGGCGGAAGGACGAACAGGAAAAACAGCAGGAAAAAAGCAGAGGGGCAGACGAAGGGGAGGAAGCGACAGAGGATGAGGAGAAGCCGGCCGTTCCAGGGCGGCGAGGCAGGAGTGCGAAGCAGCCCGACAGAAGCGGAGCTCCTGGGAGCATCGAACCTCTCCGGCGGAGGGGCGGGGCCTGGTCGCCACGCGCTGGCGACACCACAGGCTCGTGTCGTGACGGCCCCGGCGTCGGTTGCTCACACTGCGTGGGTCGTTCCACCTTGTCAGCGTTTTCCGATTCGGCGTCTCGACATTGGGCGGAAGGGGGGGGTGAGGGGTGGGCTCTGGCTCCAGTCGGGGATGGACAGACCCCCCTTTAGTAAAACGTGGTTCAGTGCAAACGACCTCAGGCCCAAACCTGGCGGGCGCAAGCCTGGAAAATAACGGCCACGGCGCCCTCCCGAGAACAGAAAAAGGACAACTCACTAATCGACGTGTCACTGTTGGGGGTTCTGTCCACCCCCGATCCAGATCTCTGCTTAACGCGACTGTTTGCAACACTGCGTCCGATGGGGGAGACCTCACCTGCTCGAAATGGGCGCCAAGAACAGAGAAGATCTACTCCACGGGGGGGGAGGGGAGGGGCGCGAGGGCCCGCGCCGATCGGCAAGATCGCCTTGAATGATCGGCTGATTTTCAATCGCCAGGTCATTACATATTGGCCGATGGCTCACACCCGCGTCGGGTCGCCGCCACGTCGGCACGACGCAGACCAGCCGTATCCACCTCGCTGTCCCCAGGGAGGCACCCGTGGATTCTCGGGGAGGGGGGGGGGCTGGCCGCGCTGGGCGGCGCAAGCGGGATCGCCCCCCCCGCGCCGAGCTTCCGTGGAAAGCCTCCGCAAGTCTACAGGGCAGTTCTAATATATAGGATGTTTAACATATAGGATTTTTAGTACATGATTTATTTAGAAATGAATTCATGCATGAACTCATCGTCGTTTTTAGTAATAAATCCCTGCATGTTTGAATACATGATCCGCACGCGGAGCGTGTACTAAAAACGGCACGGTACGTTCTGGCAGGGGGGGTGGTCGCCACCCGCTGGCGGCGCACGCGGGGCAGCCCCTCTGCGAACTTCGGGGGCGACCGCGGGGCATCGCGTGGGCCCCCTGGGGGACCCTGCCGGGGACACTCCTCGAGATGCCACTCATAGTGCTGCGACGCTGCAGGGATGGGTCCACCGTGCCACTGCTGGACCCCTGCGTCCCTGCAAGGCGAGAACTCTTCAGCGCTACAGCGTTGCAGTTCCACACTGGCAGGAGCCACCGCAATTGGTACAGCTCCCTGCTCCTGGATGGTCCTGCTTCGCTGCGATGCGACTGCTACAACGCTACGAGTCTGGGGAAGAGGGCCAGCCTGCTCGATGACGCGGGGCCCGAGGCCCCGCGCTCCTTGACTCGCTGGTTCGCCCCTGCTGTTCACCCTCTTTTCTTGGATAAGAAGGGGCCAACTATACGCCAGCACCGATCCTGGCCAGGATCGGTGCTGGCGTATAGTTGGTGCCCTCCGATGGGAGGCGGAGACGTGAGGTCTGAACTGCCTGAGGCCCCAGAAGATCTGGCAGGAAGGGGCAGGGAGCCCAATCCGCTCAACCTCGGCCCCCGGACCCCTCCCGGTGCCCACCTGGTGTTAGGTCGGGCCTGTCCCCCCACAGGGGGATGTCGGGCGAAAAGTGAAAAGTAGTCAAAAAATGCCCCAAAGGATGCCCCAACAAAATGCAAAAAATAACGCCCACCAAATATGTTTTGACTGTGTTTGAATATTCCCCCTGTAGAGGGACGGGCCCGACTTACACCTGGTGCATTTTTGCACCCCGGTTCGCTTGTGACCGCCCCGGGGCCCGAGGACGGCCCCCGGAGGCCGACGCGGGGACGGGGCCTTCCCGAGCCCAGCGCCTCGGGCCCGCCCGCCCCCCTTCCGCTGGCCGGGACCGGCGCCTCGAGCCGGGACCGGCCGTCCCGGCGTTCCTGTGGTCCTACCACGACGTGTACTTAGAACTCAAAGATGTTCACGTTGACGACCGAATTAGCACGCCGACTCCAGCGAACACAACGACAAATGCTTCGCATGATTGTGCGAATACCACGGCGCACCTCGAGAAACGTGGCACAAGTATCACAACCACCACCCGAGCATCAGATTACTGACGAATCCGAATAATCAAAAAACAATGCTCTCAGAACAGAAGCCACGAAGTGTTCTCAGAACCCAGCAGATGTTCGCATAACAGAAACAAGGTTCTCAGTACAGAAGCCCGATGCGAGAAAACAGGACAGACATTTCGTGGAAACCACAAAACAGGTTCTTAGAGCATTGTTTGGCCGGCCTATAGGCGAGTCAGGACGCTTCGCCACTGTTTGACTTTCCGCTGGCCGGAACCAGTGATGGGCCACTGCAGACCACCAGCCGGCTCCAACTCCCTTCTTCCCCTCAGGAGCAAAAGCAGGAGCAAAAGTTCGTTTCCATGCCAGACGGCGAACTGCAACCCCTGAGATCTGACTTAGCGAAAAAAACGCAACATTGAAAAACATCACGCCCAGAGACCTAGACCCCATCTTTCTGCGTCACCGTTCGAGCCGAATCGATCTGCGAGTGTCCCGGGGCCCGAGAGAAGGCGAAAACGCCGGGCTCGAAAGAATTGAGAGGCCAAGATCAGAGACGCTGCTCGGAGCGAGAAACGCAGAAACGCAGGCCAAGATCTTAGGGATCGCCGATGTCCCGTCGAACCCACGAAGCATATGATACACTGACAGATGCTCCGTAGGTCTGCTGACTCTTGTACGTACGTCTCTCGTGGGCCCGACGAGACAACCGACATGGGAATAAAGTAAATCAAATATGTAGCCGATCCCCTACCCTTGAGTCGGGCCTGTCCCTCTACAGGGGGAAGATTCAAGAATAGTCGAAAAAGAATATGGGGACGATTTTTTGGAGCATGTTTCCATCATTTGGGGGCACTTTTGGGGGTATTTCTTTCTTCTTCGCCCGAAACCCCCCTGTAGGGGGACAGGCCCGACGTAACCCTACCCGAGAACTGCCGCTGCCGACGCTCGACGACGGCCTCCTCACACCGCGCGCCGCGCAGCGGGAGTTGGAGGCTTGGAAATGGGCACCAACACCAAAACAGGGGGTTGCCTCCACAGGGGGAAGATGATCCTGGATTTCGGTGTTGGTGGTAATATTTCGGTCACCTTGGAAGCCAGAATATTACCACCATCTCCGAGATTGGGATCTTCATCCCTCGGTGGAGGCACACCGCCGATCTTGGTGTTGGTGTCAACCTCTGGGCCTGCGAGGCCCCCCCGGCCGCGCCCGCGCGCCGCCTGCTCCGCGGGCTCGCGCGATGGAGCGGGCGCGCTCTGCTGCGCCGCCGCCTCGGGGCCCGCGGGCGCCTGCCGCGCGGGAGGGGCCCGCGGGTAGGAGCAAGAAAAGGCGACACCGACACCACCAGGGCGAGGAGCTGCGAGGAGGCAAAGGGGGTTCTCCCTGGTGACGTGGTCCCCCCCCCTCGCTCGAGACGTCCCTGGCCTCCAGCTCGGGGAGGCATCGCGGACCTCCTCGCTGGAGGCGGGCCCCCTGGGGGTGCTGGCGTCGCTTCTCCTCCCTCCGACGGGAGAGTCCTGGAGGCCTCCTCGTTGGGGTCGGAGCAGGTGGAGCCAGCCCGCCTCATGGCAGACAAGCGCGCTGCACTGCCCGCAGAGGCGCGGTCCTCCGACCCCTTCCACTCCGACCCCATCTGGGAGGCCTCGCATCCCGGCGTCGCAATTTCCTCACACCGGGCGTTTTCGCGTAGCGTGTCGCGGCGGCGGCCCTGGCGACGCGCTATGTCACGCGAGCTGATAGCGTGTCGCTCCGCTCCCCCCGGGCGGGAGCCCAGGAATTGGAGGCCTTGAAATGGGCACCAACACCAACACAGGGGATTGCCTCCACAGGGGTGCAGGTGATCCCAGCTTTCGGTGTTGGTGGCAATATTTCGGCCACCTTTGGAAGCCAGAATACTACCACCATCACCGAGATCGGGATCTCCTTCCCTCGGTGGAGGCACACCGCCGAAATTGGTGCTGGTGTCAACCTCTAGGCCTGCGATTTCCCCCTTCCCACGTCCCCGCCTGGGCTCGTGGGTGCGCGTTCTCCACAGCCCCGGACGGGCCTCCGGCACGCTTGCCCACCAGCGTGGCCGCCGCTTTCCCCCGCTGCGGGCCCACCCTGTTCGCCCCAGCAGGGGGGCCCATCTACGCCGTGGCTGCACCTGTTCGGTGCCCGCCCTCGTGGACGCGTCACGACGTGCCTTGCGGCTCCCGCAGGGCAGTCAATGGCGCGCACGCGCCGCATACCTCTACGCCCCTGCCGCCTGGGCCTCTTGCCACCCGCGCCTTCCCTCGCCCCTCCTCCCCCTCTGCAGGGGGGCTTCGCCATCCCCGCCCCTGGGGCGCTGGCGCCTCCTTGACTGCTCGCGACACGCGCCCCTGCCGGCAGAACTCGTCGGCATCTGCTCCCGCCGCCGCGGGCCCCCCAGCCCCGCTGCTGCCGCTGGCCCCGCTGCTGCTGCTGACCCAGGCCGCGCTGCCGCTGCCGCCGCTGCTGCTGCTGCAGGGGCGCCTGGACCACACGGACGCCTTGGGACCGGACGACGTGGCCCCGCGCGCCTCCCCGAGGCGCGGCGGGCCCGCAGCGGCGGCACGCCCCCTCCACGCCCTGGGCGCCCCCGCCCGGCGCTGGGCCCCGGGGCCCTCGCGGCCCGGCCTCGGGCTCGAAGGCCGCTGCAGGCAGGCGGCGTCCGGGGCTCCCTGTCGTGCCTTCGACCTTCGGCTGGGCGCGCGCTCGCCCGCCCCGGCGTGGGGCTCTCGAGGACTGCGAGAGCAAAAGGTGCGCGTCGGGGGCTCCCCGTCGTGCCTCTTCGGCCGGGCGCGCGCTCTCGCCCCGGCGTGGGGCTCGAGAGAGCTGTGCGAGCAAGAGGGCGTCTGTAAAGGGAAATTAGGACACACAAATAAATACACACAAATAAAAATAGAACCCATATTTTCCTATATTTTCTGGGTTTTTGTCTTCCCCCCCAATTCCCATATTTTCCCATATTTTCCTGGGAATCGAGGATTAATTGTGTCTGTGTGTTTCTTTCCCTCCTGAGTCTGGGGCTCCCCGTCGCGCCGTCGCTCGAAGGATACGCTCGAGCCGCCTGGTCGGCCCAAGGCCTCGGTGCACAGCGGCCAGGGGTCGCCGGGTCGCCGGGTCGCTCCCGGGCGGTGGCCCGTTGTGGAAATCTCTGTGGACACAACCGGCGTCGTGTCGTGTCGGCAGGCTCGCGTCGCGTCGACCCCGGCGTTGGCTCCTGACACCGCGGGGATCGTTCAGACTCGAACGATCGGCCGCTCCATCAACGCCAGATCGTTCCACGACGGGCCGATTCTGGGCGACGGGCGGCGTTCAACCTTACACGCGCGCGCTGGGGTCGCCGCTGGTCGACACGACGCGAACCTTCCGTACAGGGATGGTGTGATTCGCCAAACCTTCCACTGCGTACACATCAACTTGCGGGGCTCCGCGCGCATTTCTTGGACCTGCGCTGGGCCCCCTTCCTCAGACGAGCGCGTTCCACTACTCGCACAGTAACCACTCGCAAATGGCCCCTGGATCCCCCCGCGAGAGATCTACGAGACATTGCATCAAAGCAGACGTGTATTCTTCGGACGTTTGCGAGTGGGCACTTTGCGAGTAGTGCAACGCGCTCGGTGCCTCCTGGCGCGCCGGGGGGCGCCAGGGACGGCACCGCCGCGGGCGCCGCCAGGGGGTTTCCCGCGTAGACCCAAGAAGAATCGGCGACCGAGCGCAGGGGCGAAGCGAGAGAGAGGGGGCAGCCCTCCTCAGAAGGCGGCGGGGCTTCTCTCGGAAGCCCTCGCGCCTTCTGACAAGCTTTAGGTCGGGCATCTCCCCCTACAGGGGGATTTTGGACGAAAAATCAAAACTAGTAAAAAATACACCAAAGTTCAAAAATGATCAAAACATCGTCCCCAGACTATTTTTCTGTTATTTTTCTATACTCCGACTTAAGACGAGCTTTCTGCCCCCGGGGAAGGCCTGGAGAACTTCTCGTAAAGCCGGAGGCCTTCCGAGCCCTCTGAGAAGGCCCTCCCCGTCTGACTTCCCCCCCCGGCTCGCCGCCGAGAGGGGAGAGGCGGGGAGGGAGGGTGACCTGGAGGGGAAGCAAGGCGAGGGGCGACGGGGCAGGTCCACATCGTGGCGACCCGTGCGCCCCTTTTCCTGCGGCCGCGCGGATCGCTCAGCCCTGAACGGTCGCGCTGTTCCCCACGCCGCGGGGAAGTCTCCATGCCGCCCGGGGCTCGCCGCCGACGGACACCCGCGCGGAGCTCAGAAAGTCTGCTTTCAGGTCGGGCCTGTCCCCCTGCAGGGAGATGTGATCTTGGAGGCAAAATACAAATACTCGACAGATGCTCGAAAAGTGCCCCCAAAAAAACTCAAAAAATAGCTCCCAGACAATTCTTGGACTATGTTTGAATATCCCCCCTGTAGAGGGACAGGCCCGACTTCAGTCTACGTCTGTGCGATCGTTTTTCGTCGAGGCGCGGGGCAGCCCCTGCCCCGCCGCGGCGGGCGCCGTGGGCCCTCCGCCAGGGCCCCGCCAAGCCAGGGCACTGCCGGACACAGGACGCTGCTGGCGAGGACTTCGACTGCCTCGAGTTGTGGATGCCACGACAATGGACACCCTAACATTCCTATCATTGGATTGGAAATGTGTCTGAAATGTAGGAAGAATGTTATAAGCATGGTTGTAACATTGTTTCACGTGTGTAAAACGTGTTTGATACATGTTTCAGACATCTGAAAAGTATGTTTGGCAACATGCTTCCTCTCCATTGATCGTCCTCCACAGGCCTCGAGGGAACCGAGCACGGAGAACGTTTCGACCCACGGAGGCAGCTGTCTCGGGCGCGCCAGTGTCTTGGTTTTTGTTCAGTGCTCGTTCAGGGGCCCAGGGGAGTAGAGGGCTTCAGGAAAGGGGCCCTCCAGTGGCCCCAGAGGGGCCGCTTTAGGGCCCCGAGGGTGCACGGAAGGTGCACCCTGCTTCATTCCCCCCACGCGCGTGGCCCCCCCAAATGACGACGCGACGCCCGCCTCCGCGACCGCGCGGCCGCTGCGGCTGGGACCAGAACTAAAAAGAGAAGGAGGCAAGGACACGACACAGCCGGGTCGGGATCGATCGGGGACCTACGAGAGCCAGCGGCTCTCGATGATGCATCGGGCGCCGCGGCCGTTCCAGAGTGCTCCGGAGAGCACGCTCACAGGCGGCCGACGTCTTCGCCGTGCCCCTGCTCCCGCCCCAATCCCACCACGGGGCCAGAGCGGAGGCATGGATGAGAATCTTGCCCCGCTGAGCTTGCCATCCCTACGAGCATCGTTTAGCCGACCCCTGGCCCCATGGGCGTGATCTGGGCCCCCCTGGCCCGACGTAATTACCCCCCCCCAGATGGGGACAGAGGCCGTTTTCCTCGGGTGTCGGGTGCTCTGTCCCCACCGGCGGACTGGGGTGGTGGCGGTCTGGATGGGGGATGGGGATGGGGGATAGGGGTCGGTTAAACGATACTGACCATACCCCTCCTCCTCCTGGCGCCCAGAGTGGGGGGGGCAGCAGAGCGTTCTGGAACGCTCTTCGGTGGCTCAAAGATGGGGTCCTGAGGGATGGGGTCCAAAGGATAGGAAAGAATCTGAAGGTGGATTTGCATTGTTTGAGGCAACTCGTCCTCAGGACCCCATTCCTCGGGACCCCATCTTTGAACCACCTAGCTCTGGCACGACCGGTCCCGCTCCTGGGCCTGTCTGGCGCGGGCCGCCGCTGGGCAGCGGGTCTCTCCGGCGCCATCGTTGGAGCCAGCGCGGTGCTGCTCAGGACGTGCGCCAGCGCCAACGTGCGCTTGCCCACCGGAGCTCTTCAAGACGACGCAGCCAGAGTAATGAGGGCGGAACGGAGTAGCACATACACATTCGGCCAACACATGTCAAGAGGATGATCGACCAACCATCGGTCGCCACCGATCGATCGGCCGACGGAGAAGTCGTATCTGGCTGCTGGAACGTACGATATCATCACAGAAATGCCGGCTGTCAGCACGGGGGGTGGAACACGTCACACACGCCACTTCAGGAAGGAAACGAAAGAAGCGTGGATTCATCATGCTTCTGTGCCATCGCTGCAGCGAGGAAAACCTATGAGCGGTGCAAAGAAGAAAGCGGTAGACGCACACACGAACGCAAAACTACACATGCGAAGAGGTTCGCAGGTGCTCCCGAACAAAAATACAAATACGGCAGACGCACACGTGGGCGTGAGAGTCTGGCATTGAGGAATTTGGAATGACAGCCCCAATCGGCCGCGGTCTGGTTTCTCGCTATAGAAGCCGAATCAAGACCAGCCAGCGGGGCTTCAACAGCACCAGTGACAAAAACATCTCATATCTGACGCGAAGGAACGTGCACCTCTCAGATAATTCCTGCCTGCGAACAGACCAACACTCAAACGAAGAAATGGGCGAGCACGCAAACCAAACCAGCCAAACCAGCCAAACCCACAAGCCAAAGACGTTGAGTCCCTCGGAACTCCCACTCGATTCGCTCCGGGCTCGACCGAACTCTGAAGCACCAGCGTGAACGGCCAGGGCGAGACCACCAATCACAGAGAAAGAGACACCTAGGACATTGACACTCCGACGCTCCGCGCGGCCTTCTCGGAGTCGGCGCCCGACCCCCCCCCCCTCCCTGGCGTGCGGAGCGCGCTGGGGGCGCCGCCACGGGAGCCCAGCGCCAACCCAAGAGGAATCCCAAGAGGAACCCAAGAGTGTATGCTCATAGCTCATAGCCTGTCTCCCAGCGTCGACGTCAGGGGCAAAACCGCCATCAACGAACGGGAGCGAGCGCGGTGAACGGGCTCACCTCCAGCGGCGCCGCCAGCTCGGGCGACTGGGCAGGACCGTCTGGCTGTCGCGGAGGGGTGTCCTCCAGCTTGGCCTGGAGGCGCGCTGGGGGGTGACTGCGGCTTGAAGGACAGCCGAGGCAGCCTTTCTTCCCCTTCGGGGAGGGGTATACCTGTTCCAAATCAAGAAATACCCGATCCCCCAGGCGACCGGCAGCCAACCAGCACCAAAAAAAACCCTCCACACCATCTTGATTGACAAAAACAATGCGAAATGCACTTCGGGGCAATTTCTTGGGTCATGCTCGTGGGCCCCGCGAGCAGTTTGTTCTGTTTGTTGACAAGAACGGCGAGGGGGTATCATAGTGCCTGTTGCGCGCAGGGCCACCATCCGCGTCAACAAACTATGCAACATGTGTTTCGCGGCTAGATCTGGATCGTGCGCGGCCACCACGCTGTCACTTTGCAACGGTGTTTGAAAAAACGGCGGCGGTGCTGGCATATTGCCTGCTGTTTGCAGGCCCACCACACACCATGACGGCCATCCCGTCGCGATCGTGCACTGGTTTTCGATAAAAGACGGCGGGGCCGACAAGAACCCCGATGTGTGCTGTCACGTGCGCGGGCGCACCTGGCGCGGGTGAAGCTTGGGGCACACACGGCAGACATAGATCAGGTGGCGCATATGGCGCGCCAGGCGTGCTGGGCACGCTTGGGCACCACGGGTGCCTGGCGTTCCTGGCGCAAGTGGCGCGCCTGGCACGCGTGGCGCACCGCGCACCAGCATCGTGCATATGATATGGAATCCGTTGTTGGTTCCAATATATGTCCATCCATAGACGACACCTGAACACGCTGAGGCTCGGATGCGACTTGTGTTGGGAGGGCGGGTGGGAGTGACCGAGACAGCATGCGGGCGGGGAACATGTCTCTATTTTTCCCAATCAATATACCCCCCCAAGCGACCGACAGCCAACCGTGAACAATGAGGACGCCATGACCTCCCCCCAACCATCCCTGTCAACGAGAGAGCGCGTTTCACGGGCGGTTGCCTTGGGAACATTCGGCGGCGCGTTTCGAACCGGGGGGTGGCCCCCCCCCAACACTCGGCGCCGTCGATCAGAACCAGGGAGGCTCCCCTCCCCCCCATTCCGACACCTTGCCCCCCCCCCACCCCCCGGCGCCAGCGCCAGCGCCGGCGCCGGCGCTGGCGGCCGCCAGCACCGCCGACGGGCGGCCGCCAGCAGCGCCGACGGCGGGGACGCAGCGACGATGACCAGAAGCAGCTCACGGGGGGGGGTCCGGCGCCGGCGCTGGCGGCCGCCAGCAGCGCCGACGACGACGCAGCGACGATTACCACCATTACCACCACCACCACCACCACTACCACCACCACCTCAACCCACCACCACCACCACCCACCCACCACACAACCACCACCACCACCACCACTACCACCACCACCACCACCACCACCACAACCACCAGCACCACCACAACTCACCACCACCACCACCTCAAAAACCCACCACCACTACCACCACCATCTTCCACAGCACCACCGCCACCGCCACCGCCACAACCACCACCACTACCAGCAGCACAACCTACAACCACCACCACCAAACCACCACACAACCACCCCCACCACCGCCACCACCACCACCACCACCAGCACCACTTCCACAAACCACCGCCACAACCACAACCCACCACCACCACCACAATCCACCACCACACCACCACCAAACCACCACCACCACCCACCACCACGACCCAGCACCACCACCACCACCACAAACCACCACCACACCACCACCAAACCACCACCATCACCAGCATCCACCACCACAACCATCACCACCACAACAACCACCACACCACCACCAACACAACCACCACCACCGCCACCACAATGACCACAAACCCACCACCACCACCACCACCACCACTACAAACCACCACGCCACACCACCACCACCACCACCACCACCACCAACCACCACCACCACAACCACCACCACCACAAACCCCCACCGCCACCACAACCACCACCACCACCGCCACCACCACAACCAACACAACCCACCACCACCACCACAACCACTACCACCACAATTACAACGTCAAAACACCACACCACCACCGCCACCACAACCACCACCCACCACCGCCACAACTACCACCACCAACACCACCAGAAACCACCGCACCACCACCACCACCACCACCACCACCGCCACCATCACCACCACCACCACCACAACCTGCCACTACAACCACCACAACAACCACCACCACCAACCGCATCACCACCACCACCACCACCGCCACAACCACCACCACCACCAGCACCACCACCACAGCCCACCACCACCACCACCACTACCACCTCAGAGAGGCCCCAAGAGACGCCCAAGAGGCGCCCAGGAGACTGCACAAATGCCCTGCTGAGGCCCCCGAAAGCCCCTCGACGAGACCCCAACAGGCATCCATTAGGATTCTGACCCAAAACCAAGGCACGATGGCGGAGCGTCGTCGTCGTCGTCGTCTTCGTCGTCGCCGCTGTCCTCGTCGACGCTCCCCGCCGCCGCCGCCCGCCGCCGCAGGCGCCGCCGCCGGCCCAGAAAAGGAAGTCGTCGTCCCCGTCGCCGCCGCCAGCAGCCGCCGACGCAGGCGCCGGCCCGAGGAGAGGGAGAGAGGGAGAGGAGAGGGGGGGAGGAGAGGGGGGGGGGGGTCGAACCCCCCCTCCCCGTCCGTCATAGGAGGGGGGGGGTTCAACCCCTCCTCTCCATCCAGGGGGGGGGTCCCGGTTGCGGCGTTTTTGTTGGTGGTGGTGGTAATAATGGTTTGTGGTCATGGTGGTGGCTGTGGTGGTGGTGAAGGTGTGGTGGTGGTGGTGGTGGTGGTGGTGGTGGTGGTGGTGGTGGTGGTGGTGGTGGTGGCGGTGGTGGTGGTGTGGTGGTTTGTGGTGGAGGTGGTGGCGGTGGTGTGGCCATCGGGTCTTCCCGCCACCGTGTTTTGTGTTTGGGTCAGGTGGTGGTGGTGGTGGTGGTGGGCTGTGGTGGTGGTGGTGGTGGTGGTGGTGGTGGTGGTTGTGGCGGCGGTGGTGGTGGTGGTGGTGTGGTGGTTGGTGGTGGTGGTGGTAGTGTATCTGGCGATTTGTGTTTCCCCTCTGCGGCCTCTGGGCCCTCTCCGGTCATCGTTGGTGCGTTCCCGCCGTCGGCGCTGCTGGCCGCCGCCAGCGCTGGCGCCAGCGCCGCCGCCGAAGGGGGTGCGGCTGGGGCGGGGCTCGGAACGTCCCCCCCCCTCCCTCCTGGGCCCTCTCTGGTCATCTTCGCGGCGTCTGCCGTCGGCGCTGCTGGCCGCCGCCAGCGCGAGCACAAGCGGGGGGTTATCCCAACATCGTTGATGACTCTTGGGTTTGCCCTCTGACTCTTGGGTTCCTCCGCCTCCTCCCTCCTCCCTCCTCCTCCTCCCTCTCTCTCCTCCTCTCCTCCTCCTCCTCCTCCTCCTCCTCCTCCTCCTCCTCCTCCTCCTCCTCCTCCTCCGAGTGGGGGGGGGGGGGGGGCGCAGAGGGGAGGGGGAGTCCCCCTGGTTCTGCTCGACGGCGCCGAGTGTTGGGGGGGGGGGGGGGGCCACCCCCCCCGGTTCGAAACGGGCCGACTCTTGGGTTTACCTCCTCTCTCCTCCTCCTCCTCCCCTCCTCCTCCTCCTCCTCCTCCTCCTCCTCCTCCTCCTCCCTCCCTCCTCCTCCCCGGGTTGGGGGGGGGGGGGGGCGCAGGGGGGGGGGGGCCACCCCCCCCGGGTTCGAAACGGGCCGCCCGAATGTTCCCAAGGCAAGGCGCCCGTGAAACGCGCTTCTCTCTCGTTGACAGGGATGGCTGGGGGGAGGTCATGGCGTCCTCATTGTTCACGGTGGGCTGTCGGTCGCTCGGGGGGGGGGTATATTGATTGGGAAAAATAAAGACATGTTCCCCGCCCGCATGCTGTCTCGGTCACTCCCACCCGCCCTCGGGGGGGGGGGCCACCCCCCCCGGTTCGAAACGGGGCGCCCCGAATTTTCCCAAGGCAGGCGCCCGTGGAGCGCTTCTCTCATCCCTCGAGACCCGAAGAGGGCAGCCCCTATCCCCATCCAGGGCAGCCGCAAGAGAGCGGCTGAGGCCCCGCTCGCTCTACGATGAGGGGGCCGCGTGCCCCATGCGAGCATGTGACAGGTCGATCGTTGATGTCCCGAGGCCTGGCTCTTTGGCCCCTGCCGTGGTGGACATGATGGACCCTGTCGGACAGGAGATGCCGAAGGGCTGGGTGAACAGTGTTACTCACCCAGTGGGAGCGGAGCAGCGTGGCGGGCGCCGAACTGCGCAGTGATCCGAGGCTGCGCCGCTGCTTCGTCGCAAACTCGCGCGGGAAATGCCTCGCCAGCTTCGCGACCGAGCCGAAGGACTGGGCCACCCCGCCTCTCGCGGGCAAGGAGTCGGGGGGCTCGCGCGTGGCCCTCGACGCCGGTCCCGAACCGGCTCTTTCGGATGCGCCCCGCGCTGGCCATGGGCAGCGGGGGCCGGCCCAGGAAGCAGGGCCCGGGGAGGCCCCGACCGCGCGGTGCGCCGGAGTCAAGAGCGCAGCTCTTCGTCAGCAGCTTGGACATCAGGAGCGAATTACTTCTGCGCGCTGGAGAACCTTCCCGAGCCGTGCCCTTCATCTGCTTGCCAGAGGGCTTCGGGGCCTCCATTCATTGGCGACCTTCCGCGCTCGGAGGGCTGGGCATGGCCGATGCTGCGGGTGGTGTCCGCTGGGTGGAGCCGGGCATTCTGCCTGGCTCAGCGCGTCGCCTCATGGAGGGCCCCGGAGTCTTCGGGCGCAGGGCCTGCCGCGCTGCTCGCCGACTACGGGCCCGCCCCAGATACGTCGGGCGGGAAGCCCGCCGTCCTTGCCTACAGCGGCAACGTCGGCGTCGGCCCCGCGCCTCACGAGGTCACCGACGAGGTCGCCGACGAGGCCGGGAGGGAGATGGAGTCGCACCGTCGGCAGCTTCGAAGTTCACGAGGTCACCGCTGCCAGCGCGACCGCGGCGATGCTCGGGCGCGCGATCGGCGGCGCCTCGGGCGCGGTCCAGCTGGTGGCCGCGCGGCGGGCGAGGCTTGCTGCCGCGCTCTACTGGCTCGAGCGTCGGCCGAGGGTGACGGCGCGCCCGGTCAAGGTGATCGTTGGGCACTGCGTCGGCGCCGCCCTGCCGAGGGCGCGCCTCGCGTCCGCGCCCAGGCAATGCTGCGATGTCATCGCCTGCGCCGTGGGCGAGCCCGCGATGCTATGGGCTGCTGCAGCGCGGGAGCTCGGCATTGCGGCGACTGCCGTTCGCTTGCGATGCCAATTTGAGGAGACCGCGCGCCACTGTCGTCGTGCGCGACTCTCGCCTCGTTGGGGCCGTCGTCGCTGTGGGGCCCTTTTGGATGCTGCGAGGGCCATCGGGCGAGTGGGCGAGCACTCCGTCTGGCGACCCGTTCCCGGATCCGCCCGCTGCCCTCCCCCGCGATCAGGACTGCGAAGGGGGGGGGCAGAGTCGCAGGCCCTCGCGAGGTGCGCAGCCGTGTCGTGGCCAGGCGCAGAGCACATCGCAGCCCTCTGGTCTCGCGCTGGAGTCGTTGGCGCGACACTTTGTCTGCTCGATCATTGGCCGCGGAAGAAATTCCAGCGTCGGAGACAACTTCCCCCATGTCCTGTCCTTCGCCAAGGGCGGGAACGCGAGCACTGCTGTCTTGGGCTCGCGCAAACAGGCGGCGTGCCAACCCGTGGCATCGGGCCCAAGCTTCCGTGGCCGCCAGGAGGAGGAGGAGGAGGAGGAGGAGGAGGAGGAGGAGGAGGAGGAGGAGGAGGAGGAGGGGGAGGAGGAGGAGGAGGAGGAGGAGGAGGAGGAGGAGGAGGAGGAGGAGAAGGAGGAGGAGGAGGAAGAGGAGGAGGAGGAGGAGGAGGCCCTCCCCGGCGATCTCTCGCCTTCCCGGGCCTTCCGGGGGAAACTGGCAGGTGCCGCGGCGGCGGCGCTTGCTCGGGGGCGACGTGCGGGCCAAGAGGAGAGCTCGGCGGGCGGCGGCGCGTGACCTTCCTCGCGGCCAGCTCGGTCAGCAGGGCGACCAGAGTCCCAGACCTTCGCGAGGCAGTATAGCCTCTCGGGCCGTCGTCCCCAGAGGAGACGGCGCCGACCCGCTCGGGCGGGGCGGCGCGCTCTCTCCACCGACGCGGAGGAGATCTGCGCGTCTCGGGCGCTCCACCGACCGAGCTTCCGGCCGCTGGGGGGGCGCCCGCTCGCGCGGACGCGCGGCAGCTCGGCCCTCCCAGCGCTCGCCCGCCAGTCCCGTGGCCGCGCGCGGCTCCGATCGCGCTCTACATGGTGAACTTGGGGGGCCCGATGGTGGCGACCGCCTGGCTGGCCATGCTCGCGGGTTACTGCCGCCCCAGCGAGCCGCCGGGCGCGGCGGAGACCTCGTTCCACCACAACCACCACGACCACCACCACCACAAACCACCACACCGCTACCACCACCATCACCACCACCATCGCCACCACCACCACCACAACCCACCACCACCACCACCACAACCCACCACCACCACCACCCACCACCACACAACCACCACCACCACCACAACCATCACCACAACTCACCACCACCAGAAACCACCACGCAACCACCACCACCACCACAGCCACCATCACCACAACAACCCATCACCACCACCACTAGACCCACAACAACACACCACCACTACCATCACCATCACAACCTACCACACCACCATTACCACTACCGCCAAAACCACCACCCCACCACAAGAACAACCTACCACCACAACCACAGACCACCACACCACCATCACCATCACAACCCACCAACAACCACCACCACCACCTCCACAACCCACTATCACCACCACCACCACCACCACAAACCACCGCCACCACAGCCACCACCACCGCCGCCACCACCACCACCAACGCAATCCACCACCACCACCACAAACCACCACACCACCACCACCACAGCCACCGCCACCACCACAACCAACACAACCCACCACCACTACAACCACCACCACCACCACCACGAACCACTATACCACCACCACCACCACCAATCTCCACCACAAACCGCCACACAACTACCACTACAAACACGCCACCACCACCAGCACAACCCACCATAACCCACCACAACCACCACCACCACCACCACCACCACCACCGCACACCACCACACCACCACCACCACCGCCACCACCACCAACACCACCGCCACCACCACCACCACCACCCACCCACCCACCCACCCACCCAGCCACCCACCCACCACCCACCACACCACCACAGCCCACCACCACCACCACCACCACCTCAGAGAGGCCCCAAGAGATGGCCAAGTGGCGCCCAGGAGGCTTCACAAATGCCCTTCAGAGGCCCCCGAGAGCCCTCCGACGAGACCCCAAGAGACATCCAATAGGAATCTGACCCAAAGCCAAGGCACGGTGGCGGAGCGTCGTCGTCGTCGTCGTCATCCTCGTCGCCGTCGTCCTCGTCAACGCTCCCCGCCGCCGCCGCCAGCCGCCGCAAGCGCCAGCGCCGGCCTAGAAAAGGAAATCGTCGTCTTCATCGACGCTCCCCGCCGCCGCCGTCAGCCGCCGTCGACGCCAACGCCGGCCCGAGGAGAGGGAGAAAGGAGAAGCAGAGGAGGAGGGGGGGGGTGGGGTTGAACCCCCCCCTCCGCCACGGGAGAAGGGGGGGGAAAGGGGGGTTCGAACCCTCCCCCCCACCTTCAGTCCAGGGGGGGGGGGGGCGTCCGGTTCCAAACCCTCCCCCCTCCAAGCGCCCATAGAGAGCGCTCTTTCCAAGGGATATGTCACCAACTGGGGTGGTGGGATTGTGGCGGATCGGACTGGGGATGGGGATGGGTTAAATGACACGGACGTGCCCTTCCCCCGTGCTCCCCTTGTTGACCCTCCTGGGAGGCCCTCGTCGCCATGGCTGGCTTCACCTCGAAATCGAGGATCGAAGCTCCAGGACCGAGACGCAAGGGTCGAGGATCGAGGATCGAGGTTCAAGCATCGAGGATCGAGGTTCGAGGGTCGAGGTTCAAGGACTGAGGATCTGACCACCTGCCAGAACCTCGTCGGGTGTTGCTAGAAGTGCCCCCGGCCCTAGGTGCCCCCAGGACTTCCTGGGAGGGTCCCTCGGCCTCCAGAGCACCCCTCACGAGGCCCAGAGGGCATCACGGGCTCCGAAAGCGAGCGACAAGCTGGGGGCACCTTGGGCGGGGGGGGCACCTTCGGTAACCCCCGATTCTCGCGCTCCTCGGGCGGGTGGTAATGGGGGTGATTTGGATTGCGGGGAGAAGAAGAAGGCCCTCAAGGGCCACTCCAGGGCCCTTTTGGAGCCAGAAGGGGCCCAAAAGCTCCGTCGCGGCGGCACGAAGTCCTCCGGCACCGTCTCCATGGCCTCGCCTCGCTGGGCGCCTGCTGGAGGGGGGGGCTCCTCCTCCAACTCCAACTCCAACTCCAACTCCAACTCCAACTCCAACTCCTCCTCCTCCTCTTCATACTCCTCTTCCTCCTCCTCTCCTCTCTCCCTCCTCCTCCTCCTCCTCCTCCTCCTCCTCCTCCTCCTCCTCCTCCTCCTCCGCCTCCTCATCCTCATCCTCATCCTCAGCAGCAGAACCAGGAGCAGCAGAATCAGCATCAGCATCAGCATCAGCATCCGCATCAGCATCATCAGCATCATCACCACCACCACCACCATCACCATCACCATCACCATCACCAGCATCAGCATCAGCATCAGCAGCATCAGCATTAGCATCAGCAGCAACATCATCATCCTCATCATCATCAGCAGCATCATCATCATCTTCATCATCATCAGCAGCAGCATCATCACCAGCATCATCATCAGCATCATAATCCTCATCGTCATTATGATCAGCATCAGCATCATCATAAGCATTGTGGTCATCTTCGTGATCAGCATCATCATGATCACCATTGTCATCATCGTCATCATCAGCAGTAGCATCACCATCATTATCATCAGCATCATCATGATCATCATCATCATCATCCTCATCATCATCATCATCCTAAGTATCAGCAGCAACAACGACAGCATTACCAACCATCACCAATCGTTAGCATCGGCCTCATCATCACCATGATCACCACTGTCACTATTATCACCATCATCATTAAAATTATCATAATCATGTCATCTCATGTCGTGTCATTTGATCATCTCCTCTCCTCTCCTCTCCTCCTCATCTCCATCCTCCTCCAAGGCTCAACACTAGTAGCATCGAAGTGCGATAAGAGCGCTTCAATCCTCCTCCTGGATTTCCTCCTCGTCGATCTCCTCGTCGTCCTCCTCCTCGGTATCCTCGATACTCCTCCTACTCTTCCTCGATATCCTCGATTTGCTCAATACCCTCCTCCTCCTCCTCATCATCACTATCATGAGAATCCTCATCCTCATCCTCACCCTCATCATTCTCACGATCATGATCACCAACAGCAACATCATTGACAAGTATCACCAAGCGTTATCATCAACATCAACATCACCATGATCATCACTATCACTATCACCATCACCATCATCCTCATCGTCATCGTCATCTCATCTCATCTGATTTCATCGTCTCCTCTCCTTCTCATTTCCCTCCTTCTCCTCAAGGCTCAGTCATGGTGGCATCGAAGTGCGATGAGAACGCCATCCTCCTCTCCTCCTCCTCCTCCTCCTCCTCCTCCTCCTCCTCCTCCTCCTCCTCCTCCTCCTCGTCTTCTCGTTTTTGACCTTCTCGACCTCCTCATCCTCCAACTCCTCCTCTTCCTCGATCTCCTCCTGGATCTCCCTCTCCCCCCCTCCTCGAGGAGAAGGAGGGGGCCCCCGAAGAGGCACCCTTGGGATCGGGGTGGGGGAGAGGGGCAGGGGGCAGGGGGTGATGGCCCGTGGGGGCGGACCGGTCAGCAGATGCCCCTCGGAAAAAGCAAGGCCCGGGTGTCATCCGCCTGCCAGTGGAAGCCAGACTCCTGGGGGGTCAGAGTCCGCGAGGGGCGAACGAAGGGCAGCACCAGCTGGAAAAAGAAGACTGCCCCTGGGTGTGCAGGATTTCCAGGAGGAGTGCTCGGGAAAGGCAAAGAGAGGACATCCTCGCCAAGCAGTGTCTGCAGTTTGGGGGGGGGCCAGGACACACAAACAAATGCACACACATAAAAATGTCCCCCATCTTTTCCCATATTTTCTGGGGTTCTGTCTTCGCCCCCACTTCCCAGGTTTTCCCATATTTTCTGGGGGATCGCCGATTAATTGTGTCTGTGTGTTTTTTCCCCTCCTGAAGTTTGGGGGGGTGCTTGCTTCTCTTCTGCCTGGGGCCCGGGTGTCGGCCGGGCCCGGCCCGCGGCCGCCCGTCGGCGCCGTCCTCGGCCACGGGTTCGAAGTGTGCGAGGCGCGCACTCTCTGCATCGCTCCGCGGTGCTTTGCCTTCTGCGCTGCGCTGCTCCGCGCTGCTTTTGGCGCTCTCTTTGCACAGCTCTGCACGAAGGATTGCAAAAAAAAACAGGATTGCAAAAAAACGAAGGATTGCAAAAAAACGAAGGGTTGTTTTGCAATCCTGGGTGTTTTTTGCAATCCGGCGCTGCCTCGCATCGCTCTGCATCGCGTTGCGTCGCGTTGCGCCGCGTCGCCTTGCTCCGCCTTGCTCTGCCTTGCTCCGCATAGCTCTGCATTGCCTTGCATGACTTCGCACTGCTGTGCATTGCCTTGCATTGCTTTGCTTTGCATCGCTTTGCGTTGCTGTTCAGTGCTTTGCGCTGAAATGCATTGCATTGCATTGCATACAGGGTCGCATTGCTTTACGATGCTTCACGTTGCTTTGCATTGATTTGGTTTGCGTTGCTTTGCGCTGCATTGCATGACCTTGCATGTCTTTGCATTGCTCTGCATTGCTATGCGTTGCTTTGCATTGCATTGATTTGCTTTGAACTGCTTTGCATTGTTTTGCATTGGTTTGCATTGTTGTTGCTTGCTTTGTGCTGATGTGCACTGTTTGCATTGCCTTGCACTGTCTTGCATTGATGTTCATTGCTGTGCATTGCTTTGCATTGCGTTTCATTGCTTTACTTTGCATTACTTTGTGCCACGAAGATTGCACAACATGGATTGCACCACCTAGATTGCACAACATTCATTGCACCACCTAGGGTGCACTGCATAGATTGTGCAAGGAATCACTGTTTGGGGTCCACGCTGGCTAACATCGAGACAAATACAGCCGAACAGGAATCACCCAAGGAATCGAGGTTACCTTTTCCTGAGCCCCTGGCACACCCCCATTACCAAGCGAAGGATTTGGACGACCGAAGATGTGCACTGAAAAAATGGGTAAGATGCCCATCAACAAAATGTTTTCCAAAACCGACAGCGGCCGCTGTTGGGTAAGCGGCCTTCTGTCTCGAATGGACAACATCCGCGGCGACGCCGACAGCGAGTTCTGTTCAAGATCGACAAAAAGTGCTGTTCCTATTCGTAGCCATTCTTTCCGTACCCGTTCTGGTCGAACCGAAAGGAAGGGCGGGGGGGGGCCGAAGGCTGCGCCTGACCCTGACCGCCGACCAAGGACAACGGGGGGACAGGGAAGGGGAGGCGGAGGACGCGGAGCCAGGAGAGCATTCGAACGAAGGAGTCTAGGCTGAGCATCGTTCAACCGACCCCATCCCCACGGGCGCGGCCTGGGTCCCACGAGCCGATTTACCCCCCTAGATGGGGATACAGGTTGTTTCCTTCGGGTGCTGAAGGATATATCCCCGCCGGGCCGTCCAAGCGGCACTAGCCGCGCTGGGCCCCCCCTGGCGGCGCTTCCGGCGCAGCCCCTGGCGCGCCCCGCGCTCCAGGAGGGGGGCCCAGGTGCCGATCGACGAAATCCGCGCGGACCTCCCGAAAGTGGACGCTTCCACAGTGCTCGCCCTCGAGCCCATAGCGGCACGGGGCCGGCTGCAGCCGCGGTGGGAGCCATCGACCAACACCGCCGTCGCAGGGCGCCGCGTGCGCTTCCGAAGAGGCCCCCCGTGAGCATTGCCCCGACGGGCCAGCGAGGTCGCCGCACGGCCCCAGGGGGATGCGGGGGGATGAGCAGCAGCGGGGGGGGGGGCGGTGCGGCAGCCTGCCTCTCGGTGCCTCTGGGCATCGGTGTCGGCGCACGCGGCCCGCCGCTGCAGCAACGATGCGCGCAGGGGGTGGGTGCGGGCGAGAGGCTGCAGCTGCAGCAGATCCCGAGGAGGCAGCCTGACTGGGTTGCGAGAGGCCACGCGGGCAGTTCGCCTCGAGGCTGGCAGCACAACTGCTGAGGCCAGAGGCATTGAGTGCATGCTTGGGCGTTTGCTTGATGTGCTCGGGCATCATGCGCTGCCGTGCCGTAGGGACGCAGTGGGGTTGTCCCAGGTCCTTTCGAGTTCTCTGCGCTGAATAAAGTAGCACTCCTTGAAACATCCGTTGCCTCAATTGCCGTATGTAGCAGGGATCGTCGCGTGACATCGGATATCCTGATTTCCCACTTGTCTTGGCTCCAGAGAGGGGGGCGGTGGGGAAACCCGAACTCGCGCCGGGAGCCCTCCAGTGCCGCGGCCTCCGAGACCGTCAAGAGGACGCCCAGAGGCCCCCAGAGGCGCCCGGGAGGCTCCATGAGGCCTGCAAAAGGGCCCCCCAAAGGCCGCCAAGAGGCGCCCAAGAGGCCACCAAGGGGCGCCCAAGAAGCCAGCAAGAGGCACCCCACGAAACCCCGAGAGGACTCCAACCCCAGAGCCAAGCAGGGTGGCGGGATAGGCTGGAAGCCACAAGATACTGCAGCCGTTCCTCGCTGCGGGGTGTTCACCACAGTGGTTCAAAAACAGCGGGCGGGGCCTTTGCGAGCTTCCCCCCCGTGGCGTCCATCTGGATGTTCTCCCCCCCCCAACGGCGGAGACGATCCTGAGCTTCTTGTGGACTCGCTGAAGGGGTCCTCCTCCACACGAGCGGTGCACTTGAGCAAACCGAATACGACTAGACTGCCCACGAGAGGAGCTTGTGATACGATTAGAAACAGAGCTGAGAGGACCAGGCACCTGGGCAGTGCCACGGCTCGCCTCGTGGCCCCTGGGGAACCTCGTCCAGGGCCATCTGCATCTCCTCCTCCTCCGCCCTCCTCCGCCCTCCTCCTCCTCCTCCTCCTCCTCCTCCTCCTCCTCCTCCTCCTCCCTCCTCCTCCTCCCTCCTTACTACTACTACTACTACTATACTACTACTACTAACTCCTACTACTACTACTTCTACTAATACTACGACGACGACGACGACGACGACTACTACTACTACTACTACTACTACTACGAACTACTACTACTACTACTACTACTACTACTACTACTACTACTACTACTACTACTACTACTACTACTACTACTACTACTACTACTATACTACTATACTACTACTACTTCTACTACTACTAC